TGAAATACCATATTTTGCATAAACAAAAGACAAAATATCACTAAAAAGTTTTTTGGATTCATGAAAGCTGAATTCAGGATTAAATCTTGTTCTATAAAAGAAATGTGAACATAAAAGAGAAGAATAATGAAATTCTCATTAATTTGTTTATTCTAAAGTGTTCAAGTTAACCTAAATACAAGTAGATTATATATATGTTAAACTAAAAATATTATTTTATATTTAATAAATAAAATAAAAATAAAAATAAAAATATTATTTAACACTAAATATACTTAAATAATTTTATTTGATAATTTTATGATATTTTTGGAACCGACAGTTGTGTTGACTCTCAACAAGAGAAGGGGGACGATTCTATTTCCCTTTCCCTTTTAGTTTATACTGTTCCTATTTTATTTGGCCATGATCGAGTTGCTATCCTTTCAATTTTTCATCGCTTTCCATGTTTTTTGTTTTGTTAAGGGGGTGCTGAGCTTCTTTCTTTCTACGTTTCATATCAACTATCATATGATATATGCCACAGAGGATTTATCTGCCTTTTTTCGCCACAAGTTTGTTTATTTTCATGGTTAGCTGCGTTTGCGAGCTCCCTGCTCTCTTATTTCTAATTTTTCTAGGCTTTCTTTCACTGGGTTTCATGCTTTTTATGCAGGGTGGTGGTTGTTTTTGGTTTCAGCCATGATAGTTTGCCCCAGTCTCATAGATAAATGTGTATCAGAGCATCTTCGTAACCGAAGATCCATCTCTCTTATGTTTTTCTGCATATACTTTTCACACACCATGCCTGCCATGAAATTTAAGATAAGCAGGCATTAATTCTCTTCGCTTGGCCTTCTCCGCACCATGATCTGTTCGAAAGCAACATGATTATCATTCTTCCAATTATATATGGAAAACCTCGGCTTCTGTTGTATTCAAGAGAATCGACCCAAGGTTCACAGCAGAATCAACTTTCTGTTTTTATCAGAATAAAAGGCCAATCCCAGATACAGATTTTTGGTTGCATGATTTTGCCATGAACACAGAGAAATGATCCCATAGCAAGGCTAGACATTATCTCACTTTGTTTTGAAACTCAAACAGGAATTAAGGGTTTCTCTTTCGAAAAACATTGACTTCAGAGGTGGGTTATTCAATCCCTTTCTGTCATATTCTAGAACTATACAGAAAGAAATTCAACAAAGATAAAGAAGACAGTTTATAGTACATCTAGTGGCATCAATCTATGTGAAAGCCACAATCAGTATACTTTGTGAGCACGTCTGCTGTCCATTAAACTTAGATTTTTTTATAGATTAGTTTGTATATATTACAATTAATTTTTATAATTTATTGAATATCCTGTAAATTTAGTAGATAAAGCATCACAAAAATAACAGCCAGAACTTAAATTTAAATACAATAAAAAAAGACTAGTTTTCACTTAGATTCTTTCCTACTCCGCTGGTTTGCTAATGCGGCTACGCCACTGCTTTTGCTTTGCAATCACTCTTTTTTACCCGCCCGACGTCTCTTCGCGCTGTGATTATGCACCGAAAATTGCTGTTTCATATTCCAACGCTACACAGTTTGCCACGCAGAAAAAAACTATATTCAATTGATGAGATAATTCAAGTCAGCTACCTTGATTAACGTAACTTAAAATAAAAAATTTAAAAAAAAACAAAAGTGCTTTTGAAAACAACAGCAAAAAATTTTAAAATAAAAAATATAAAACCATTATAAATTTATAAAAATAAATATTATAAAAGTCAAGAAACTTCAAACTCAATAACTTAATATTAAAAAACTAAATAAAAAAATTTAAATTAAAAAAAATATTAAAAAAAACCTGAATAATCCTAAGTTAATCGAACAAACCCAGAACATGAAATATATGAAGAACATGAAATATATGAACAGGATATAGAAAAAAACAGGAAAAATTATGAAATTCAAGGTCTAATGAGATAAATAATGAAATTGAAAAATAACTAGTTTTTACACAAAAAAAACATAAAAATAACAATATTAAATCGAACTAATCCTTAAATCTAGTGACTCGATTTATAAGATCAAGATTAGTCCATAGAAAACAAACACTAAAAAATCACTAAGCAAAATCTCTAATCATTTACAATTAAAACCAAAATAAATAGTAATCAAAATACTGATAATTAATTTTGATATAAAAATTAAATGGAAAAAAACAACGAAGGATTAAATTAAAAAATAAAAAAATTAAGAAAACATGAAAAAAACCAACAATAAAAAGAATGGGTATCAAAATTGAATACAAAAATTCAATTAAATAAAATATTGATGGAACAAATTGAAATAAAAAATAAAAAATAACAATAAAAAGAAATGAGGACCTTATTATAATTAAATGAAATGAAATATTTATGAACGTAAATGAAAAACAATTAAAGCTCAAAATGCATTAAAAGCAAAAGCAAACAACAAATAAAAACAATAAAGACTAAAATAGATAGAAACAAATCAAAAGACACAATTGATTTTTCAAAAAGATTACATGAATTTCTAGACCAAAAAAAATAATAAAAAAAGAAAAATATTCATGAGGGCTCAATTGCACCTCCTTGAACAAGCATCCCACTACCACAAAAAAAATAAAAATGACCTGTCAATTTAAACATTGTTGTTGACAATAATATTTGATTACTGGAAGGAGCCAAATACACTGTCCAAATAGTATGGACACCTCCCATTTTTTTTAAATTTTTTTTAAATATAGTGAAAGACTTAATTGCCTCTCATCCAAATGCATAATTACAAAACAATCATGTTGGAAAGACCTAAATGCCCTCAAACATAAATTCTATCATTTTTTTTTTAATTTTATGGGCAATATAGCATTTTTACTATGCATTCAAAGTAGAAAGCGATGATTAAGCTCTTCTTCCCGGTTTTAAATTTTATTACTTCTTAAAGTGTTCAAGTCATTACACAATTTATTTACCCCTTTAGAAACGTTAATGACTAATGGATTATATATAAAACATCTTCTAACCCCTAAAATCAAGTTAAAATAGGTGCACTGTAAGCGCGCAGTGAAAGGGCATGAACTTAATTAGGTTTTTTTTCTGCAGCTAGGTGAGTTCCGATTTGTTCTGCACATGTGGCTTTGCATTTGAGACTTGAACAATGCCTGCTGCGTTTCTCTAACAGAAAGCATTGTTTAACCTCCATGCTTCAGGTATTTATTTATTTTTATTTTTTTCATTTTCTTCAATTCTGTCTGCCTATCTTCTTCTTCGATTACCTCAGGTTATACTCAACCGAATGCTTATACCGTTTATATAATAACCGGCGGCATCGCCCGGCAATTCACTGGTATGTACTGTAACTCAAAACATTCAATTCGGAAAGAGAACGCAAATCCTTAATCAAGAAGACTAATGTCAACACATATCTAGATTTAGCACTGATGATATCATTTTAATAAGAAAAGACGATCAGGAGTGACTACAAAGGCAAACTGCTCCTTGTTTTCCATGATCATTAGTCAGCCAACCAGGCCTCCCTTTCCTTGTTCCCGCTTTTCCATTTCCTCGCTGGCAACACAACGAATAGGAAACACAATGATTGAGAGAAAAATAATTATCTAAAGTGCATTTTGATTCTTATATTTTGAGTTCATTAACGTATGTTTCCTTCCTTGTAATAGCTAGCATTAACAAGATTAATTATCGAATCCGATATCCCAATAATTAAGAAAAGAAATGGCGAAGGGAATTTAACCAACCGGAGGAGCCCAGTAAGGTGATCAGCATGGGCAAAGTTGTTGTCTGCACGGGCTTTCAAGATGCTAAACATTAGGTTGATCCTGGTTTGGTTGTAATCACTCTGCTTGGCTATGTTCATCGTCTCCTCTTTGAGCCTGCGGCATTCAGATCCTATCTCTTCAAACTTTTGTCTTATTTCTCGTTGCCCTTCTCTTATGCGTTTTTGTCCCTCGCCGATCTCTACCATATCTGTTTTCAATCGTTCCATCTTTTCCCTCCTCTCTCTGTTCTTCTTAATATATAAATAAGAATAATAATTATTTTTAATTTCTGGGAATAATAATGACATGATATATAGCAACAAGCAGTCAAGAAACAACAAACAAGCATTAAGAATAATCTTTACAAGAAAAACATAGAAATATAACTAGATTTGGTTCGTACCCAATATTGTTTCCTGCGTTTGGACTTGGAAACACTGCGGTTCGGGGCTAAAGGCTTGATCGAATCCATAGCTGCAGACACCCGTATTGACTGACTTCCCTTCTATTGAAATTGAAAGTTGTGTTTACAATGACGAGGGCTCTTCCCAACAGCTGTTAATTTATAGAACCAGATCTGTAATCAATATGAAGTCTTCCGCCCGCGCGAGCTTGGTGGATTCTCGCGTGTAATCGCACGATAACGCAAGTTTAGTGTTTGTTTGGATGAGAGGTAGGTTTATCTTTATTTTATGGACTCACATTGAAAGTATATTTTTATAGATTTTAAAGATATGGTTTGTATTTAAAGGATATTGTCCTGTTGAAAAAAAAAATCACCAAGAATTTATATATATATATATATATATATCCTTAAATATTAAATTTATTTTTTATAGGTAAAACATACCTAATCCAATAATCAATAATATACACAATAAATTTTAGTTGTTGTAAAAATCTTCAATTATTGTTGTTGTTTTCATATTTTCTATTCAAGAATTATATATTACTCTCTTTAGAATTGAAAAATATTACGGTAATCATAATAATCTTTATTATTTTTTGTTATTATAATTTTTTTATAAAATAATTAGAGTTTCAATTAAATATTATAATATTTAGTTAATGTTTAATTTTATAATTTTCATTTTTATTATTATATATCTTAAAAAATAAAATTGTTAAACTGTTAAAGATACCTGTAACAAATTTAATGGGATAAATTACAAATATCAAATTAATCTTAATATTAAAAAAAAAATTAAAAACTTTTTTATATCGAGACACAGACTTCAAATCAATTAGATAAAATCAAATAAACTCTCACGTCCTGATCTTCTCGGAATTGGTGGGCAGAACAGATAACGCCCAGCAGACTGTGTGTTGGGTCCAGCAGCACACCTCATTTGTCTAACTTCATGCCATGCTGCAATGGTTACTATATTTATTTCTTATATTCTTTTAACCTTCCCAAGATCCATTCTGAAAAGACCCCAAACAAGTTAGAAGCGAATACATTAAGATGTGAAGACTGGCATCGAAGAGCTTCCGAGCAGTCATATGGGGTGGGTAGTGACGCCATGCCTGACAGTCCAAAGCTCCACTACCATGTTAGTAAGCATAGCCAACAGAAGAAGAGAAGCCAGGGATTCAATCTCCCGGGTGGTCATGAAAAGCTAAAGCCCAAACACTTTCATCTGCTTCATTTGTCAAACTTGAGTTACTAATATAACTAGAAAAGCAAATAAAATCAGGCAAATCATTCTCACGAAGAAGGCTAGCTAGGTTAGCAAATTTAGTCTTAATCTTACTGTTTTTATTCGTGTGATCATCTGCTCAAGCTCTTCAACAAAAGCTTTAAGCTCTATGCAGTCTCAGGTCTGCAAAAGCTTTAAGCTCTATGCAATCTCAGGACGTCTTTCAGAGCACTGACCAACACAACCTGAAAGATCTCCGTCGGTTCCGAATTGCATTGCAACCCTATGCGGTAAATACTGTTCTGAACAGCCACCTCCGCGCAGCATTGAAATCCTGAAGCGTCGAGCAAATGCCATCAAATCGTCATTCAAACTAGAACCAACAGTCGCCCACATTTCTTTTTCTCCATAAAACTTGAGCAAATCCCAGTTTTCCAGAGCTAAAACTCTCTTTATCCGAGTCTAGAACCAACGAAACATTCTCAACATCCAGTTTCAATTTGTCCCACCAAGCAACCCTAAGGTACCCACTCTTCATCAGATTAGGCTCCGGCCGCTGCAGTTTTTTTAACCTCTTCCAAACCCGAACCTCAACTAATTGCATTGACACCAAATCTTTACTGTTAAACCATCATATTTTCCCAATGGAATCCCCAACAAGGTTGACTCTGCGATAAACCCTTTCAACCAAGTCATATCTCTATAAATGCTGGCGAGAACAGCAGGTGCAAGTGCAATTCTATTACCTCTCGCGACATGAATCACAATAAAGAAAGCAAGCTAAATGCTTCTTTCTAAATCTCGCTGCCACTATCCATGAATTTCCTCATTCACGACAGATTACTGGCCTTCTTAGCAGTTGTCCTTGTCATTTCTACAGTTGCAATCTGGAAAACTGGAACTTCTCATTACAATACGAAAATTCTCCATCCAGAACTTTGATGCTTGTTCTTCTCGCTAATCTGATTGTTGTACTACATCTTCATCTTCTTTTTTAATCTTAACCCTAGACTTCACCATGCTTTCCTTGAAAAAAGCTGGTTGTCGAAGAGCAACGCCAGAAAAGTAGATATGGTTTATAATTTTGAAAAGTTGTGTTTACAATGACAAGGGTTCATCACAATATCAGTTAATTTATACAGAGGATTCAGATCTGTAATCAATCTACGATGGTATAAAAGTTTTGCGCCCGCTCGAGCATGGTAGATTTCTCGCGTGTAATCGCACGATAACATACATACATACATACATGCATATATATAAAAAGAAACAGTTACTAGTTTTAGTAGCTACTTTGGACAAAATTCAATTGTTATGAAATCCGACCTGTTAGTGGACTCGGTTAAGGTAATGCGTCACAGGTTTTATAGGTGAATACATATCAACTTGGATCTATTTAAAAATTTAAAAATTTTAAAAATTTTATATAATTTTTTTTAAAAAAATCTATATATAAATATAGACTATATATATTATAAATAATAAAATTTTAAAAAAAATTAAAATTTATTTATCTCATATTAAAAAATACAAGGTTATTTTTTAAGTTGAAGTATTTAAACTAAAATTTTTTTGATCCCACATTGAAAAAATATAATTTTTTTATGTATATATGAAAAGGTTTTAAATTTCATATTGAAAAAAATAATTTTTTTCTTATAAACCTATAGTAAATATATTAAAGGGTTTTAAATTCTATATTGAAAAGATATTATATCATTTTTTTAAGTTTAAATATTTAAACTAAAAATTTTTTTATCTCACTTTAAAAAAATAAAATATTTTTCTTATGAACGTATAATATATATATATGAAAAGGCTTTAAATTTTATATTTTAAAAAAAATAAACATAAAGTATATGTACTATAGAGTTTCAAATCTTATATTCAAAAAATAATTTTTTTTTAATATATAATATGTATACTAAAGGATTTCAAATCTCATATTAAAAAAATATGATTTTACCAGGTCATTATACCTACGAATCTTTTAACAAACTTATATCAGTTTAGCCACTAAATTAACCAGGTTTAATAATTATTTTAAAAGTCATTTTATTTTATATAGATACAAGTTATAACTCAATAATCAATATGTATAATGGATTTTACTTTTAATAAAAATCTTGAATTGTTATTATTGTTTGTAGTTGATTATTGTAACAACCTTTTTTTTTCTTCTTTTTTTTTCAAGTGAAGTTCATTATTTAAGTTGTGGGTTTTATAATTTAAATTATAAAATTTAAATTAATTTAATATATCATCTTTTTAATATTAAAAACTTTTTTAATATTTAATTAATTTTAAATTAACCATCATAATTTATTTAAATTTATTATTTATAATGTTATCACAATATAAATCAAACATCACAATATTTAATTAATGCTGAATTCTACTAGTTTTTATTGTTTTTATTTTAATTATTATATAAATCAATATAAAATATTTTTAAAATATAAAATTATTAAACAAAAATACAAATTATATAGGCAGTGAGTTAAACTACAAATATCAAAATTCATCATAATATTAAAGAAAAATATCTCTTTCTTTCGAAAAAAAATTATATCAAATCAACACTTCAAATCAAATTAATAAAATAAGAAAAGAAACTCTCAAGTGATTATCATGTCAGGATTCGGTGGGCAGAACAGATAACGCCTAGAAGAGTCTGCGTTGGGTCCAGCAGCACACGGCATTTGTCTGCACACTAACTTCATGCCATAGCGCAACTCCCATGATTTTCATCCCTGAGCATCATTGCTAAAGCAACTCACATGATTTTCATTCCAAATACGAGATTCAAGGCCAATGGAATAGTTAGCCAGCTTAGTTTCCAGCAGGAAACATATATTAATCTTATATAGTATTATTAATTTCGTGATTCTTCTTTGTTTCCTCATCATACCTAAGCTACAGGAGTTCCAAGAAAGAATAATCATGACAGAATTAAAAGATCGGAATGAGAACTTACTATTCATTATTGTTACCATCAGTCTTCCGTCTTCTTTTCTAGCTACCTTATGATAAGTCTGGAAATGTTTTTCAAGAGTGCTAAATTACCAAGATCCAGAGCTTCTCCCACATTGATTATTTTGTTGACTTTATTGTGGACAACTTCGCTATAGATTTGTTCAGGCTGTAGATTAGAACAAAAACTTATTTAAATTGATTTTATTCGGTTTAACTTGGTTTCTTTTTAGTTTTTTTATTTGAATTAAATTTTGTTTGTTTTTGTTTTAATTTATAAAACTTAAATGGAACCGTTTAGTTTTTTTAAAAAAAATTTAATTAGTTTTTTTTTATGTTTGATTTTTTCAATTATTTTTCTTTTAATTTTCTCAATTTAATCAATGTTTTTAATTTTTTCTCACCCCTGCCCCGTTTTTAAAATTTAATTTTTTAATTTAATCAATTACATCGTATAAGACAAGGCCCCGTTTGTTGCTTGTAGTTGTTTTTGGGAAAGCTTGTTGCTAGAGAAATAGTGGTGGGGAGTACTAGGAGTTGCTATTTTTGGAAAGAAATCTTCAACAACGATATGTATCCGTTCTGTGTTGTCAGTGGCATTTATTGTGGCAGAATAGCTATGATCGTAGACCTCATAAGTCCCATGCGGGCTGCGCTTTCTGTGCCTTGTCATCAGCCCCAAAATTCTTATCAGCAATAGCCAACCTGCAAATGTTGTTATCTCCTGCCAGGTCAGTTGACACTTCATTATCTGAGTCAATGTCAGCATCTTCTTCCTAAAGTAATGTGGTTTGAAGCCATAGAGTATGAAATTCCTTTTGCCAGATCTATAGAGCCATGGATCTCCGGCAAGTGAGTACCTATAAGGATTTTCACGCTGTAAAGTTCAGAGATTTCTTCATCAAAGTAGAGCTTCCAGCATTCCATAGCTTTCTGCATGGCTTGCTGCATAGATTTCTCACCATCATAGCTTATGATTGCCTGGGAACCCCCAAAGAAACGGAAAGCAGAGAAGCCAAGGCCTAGCTGAATTAAACTATGTCTGATTTGTGCATAATCTACTCCTTGAGATATCTTGCCTATAAGACTACTTCGTAACCATAAAATTTCCTCATCTGTACTGTTGAAAGAGATGAAGTTCCGAACACGTGCTTTGGCATTATCAGTCGACGCTTGATGGACTTGATTCCCTGATCTTACTGCCTCAACATAGCTTCGGTTCTCTCTTACACGGATGGGGGCCTTGGCTTTGTTGCTGTGCTTGGATATTTGTTTCCCTCTTCCCACTGGTTTCTGTTTCGTCACTTCATCTTTTCTTCTGTGCTTAGCCACATTAACTCTCAGTTTGTAGGAGTCAAACCATATGTCATCTAAACATTCTAGCAGAGTTTTGTCTGACATATTGAAATGGATGGTGACAAAGCCAAAATGCTTTCCTGCTTGATTTGTTTTCCGGTAAACAAACAACTTAATAACTTTGCTGTGTCTGGGTGTTTAAGGTGATGGATGGTAGCTAAGGCTGGGGGTAATATGGCTTGTATGGAAGATCAGGTTGTTTTCCGTGTTTGTGTGAAGGAATTGCGTATGTCTGGAGCGTTGGTTACAATATGAATATATTTATTTCTTTTATCCTTGAAGCCTTGATCTGCATCTGTTGTTAATGGTGGGAGTTATCCATTTAGGAACCTGCTGCAATGCCTCTTACCATGTTAGTAGCATAGCCAACAGAAGAAGAGAAGCCATGAATTCAAATAAAATAAAATCAAGCAAATCATTCTCACGAAGAAAGCTAGCTAGGTAACCAATTTTAGTCTTAATCTTGCTGTTTTTATTCGTGTGATCATCTGCTCAAGCTCTTCAATAAAAGCTTTAAGCTCTATGCAATCTCAGGTCCGTTAATTAGAGCATTGACCAACACAACATGAAAGGTCTTCGTCAGTTCCGAACCATCGAAATACTGTTCTGAACAGCCAACTCCACACAGCATTGAAATCCCAGACGCATCGAGCAAATGCCATTAATTCGGCATTCAAACTAGAACCAATAGTCGCCCACATTTCTTTTTCTCCATAAAACTTGAGCAAGTCCCAGTTTTCCAGAGCTATAGTATACGAAAAACGAAATAAAACTCTCTTTATCCGACTCCAAAACCAACGAAACATTCTCAACTGTCTGTTTCAATGTTCCACCGAGCCAACCTAGGATACCCACTCCTCATCAGATTAGGCTCCGGCCGCTGCAGTTCTTCGAACCTCAACTAATTGCATTGATGACCAAAGCTTAACAGTTAAACCATCATGTATTCCCTTTGGAGTCCCCACCAAGGTTGACCCAGCGATTTTCCCTTTCAACAAAGTCATATCTCTATAAATGCTGGCAAGAACAGCAGGTGCAAGTGCAATTCTATTACCTCTAGCGACATGAATTACAATAGAGAAAACAAGCTCAATGCTTCATGCTAAATCTCGCTGCTACTATCCAAGAATTTCTTCATTCACGACAGATTACTGGCCTTCTTAGCAGGTGTCCTTGTCATGTTGCTGTCTGGAAACTAGAACTTCTTATTAAAATACGATATTCATTTCTCCATCCAGAACTTCGATGCTTGTTCTTCTCGCACATCTGATTGTTGTACTTCATCATCATCTTCATCTTAATCTTCCCTTCCATCTTCTTTCTTAATCTTAACCCTAGATTTCACCACGTTTTCCTTGAAAAAAGTTAGTTGTCGAACAGCAGCGCCAGAAAAGTAGATATGCTTCATAATCTGATTGTTGTACTATGGATATGGTTGGTGAACTTCTTTAACTTTATTACATTCACATCGTCGAGTTTTTTTATGATAGAAATGGTATATCGAAGATTTGGTGTATAATTAAAGTCTTCACTTTATTTTTCTCTCATCATCGTAAATTGTGAAGCCATTTAACAATTTTATTTTTTTTAGAAAATCATGTTTCCATAAAACCACTTTAAAGTATTTAATTTCTCGACTATTTATGTGATTCTTTTTGGAACTACCAGAACACACGGCACTCTTTTCTGCAAACGTGTTTATAGCTATTTATAGCCAGCATCAGCCGACCTACACCTGTCCTACACATCTCTTCTTATACAACTTTTAGCTAGTCAGGTTAATTTGACTGATAACTTACAATAAAAAAATAAACAATATATATATCACAAAATTAAATAAAATTAAATGTCTTATAACATAACTTTAAATTATGAAATAAAAAAATCAATTTTAAAATACATAAAAAATAAAAGATTTTGAGATTTAATATTTGACATCATGTTAAACTCTTAGAAAGAAATATAAAAAAAATATATAAATTTCAAGACTTGATACCTTAACGTTGAAAGATTAAATCTAACAAAACTAAATAA